GTGTGTGTGTGTGTGTGTGTGTATGTATGTATATATAAAGTAATTGTACTTTAATTCCAGTTTGAATCAGCTGACATCTAACATGGCGCTTATAAGGCCTTTAAACCTTCTCGTGTTCCTGTTGGCCATCATTTCCATCACGGTAAGCCAGGTTTGATGTTTCTAATTAGATCTTTCTTTCTATTCAACACTAAAACTGAAAGAAATTATTACTGTAGATTAGTTGTCTAGATAAATACTCGACTTCGCTTTAATGCGTTTAAATCACTTTTTTTCTATGAGTTTTGCCTTTGATTAAATGCAGTTGTATCGTTTTATTAGTATTTATTATTATTATATATATTTTTTTTTTCTTTTTTTTTTGTGCTTATAATCAGCTGGCATTGGTATCTCCCCTTCATAATTTACAACTATCTGGTTCATTTAGAAGTTTTCCTTTCCCTTCATAAGAAATCCATCATTCGTCACACGAAATATACCAAATTAAATAGCATATTCAGACTACAAATACTTTATCTTTCGGTCTTCTAGCAGTTTGGGACAAGTTTAAGTAGGCCTATCAAATATCCAGATTCTTTCTTTTCCTCTTTAATTCTTTTTTTATCCCCTTTCCACTTATTAAACCGATCTCACCACCGAATGTCACTACACAGAAAGACTTCCTCAATGTTTAATGAAATTTCCGATTTCAGAATGCAAAACCCGCTGAGGAGAACCGTGTGGTAAGCGCGCAATCCGTGTGTTCGAAACCGTGAATTCTTAGCACTAGAAATTATAGACTCACGAATATAAATGGTATTATCCCAGGTGTCCATTCAGTGATTGTTGTCTGCTAAATATTCATGCCGTTATAAATATAAATAACATTATCACTGGTCATTAATGTCGTCTGCTAAAAATTCATGCTGTTATAAATATAATTGACATTATCTCTGGTGTTCATCAATGTCGTCTGCTAAATTTTCGTGTCTCAGTTACCTGAATAAGTCCTGTTAAAATGCAATTCAGTTTTTCTCATTCGCCATATCATGCATAATTGCAGCTTCATTTTCGTATACTTATCATGTGTATTTATGTTCATATTTGTATTCCAATATCACATACAAACCAGGCCTCGCCACCGAAGCTTCGAAAACAATTTTTCGAAACAAGAATCTACTCTAAACAAAACCCACGAAATTTAACATTACTGCATTCTACAATTACACGATTTATCTACATATCTGCACTTACATATCCTTCACCTTAATTATACCTTTATAAACTTTATATCAAGCAATTCATTAATCTCTCCATACCAAGAATTTGTTCGAGATTCGACACAAACGAGATCTGAGTATGAACGGAAGAGAGGAAGAGGAAGACGAGGAAGGTGACGATGATGACGATGACGAAGAAGATGACGACGAGGGTGATGGCATGATTATTATGGTGAGAGCAATGTGATGTTACAATGATGTGATATTGTTATTGTTGTCACTGCTATTATTGCTACCATTATTATCATCACTGCTGTATTATTGTTATTGTTATTACCATTTTTGTTATCATTATTGTAATTATT